CCCCCCCCCCCCCCCGAGCACTGCTTTACCGCGTTATATCCGAATTTGTGTTATATCGGGTCGTGTTATATCGAGGTAGAGATGTATTGTGTTCTTGTGTTTAACTTACAAAATTACAGGCTCTTCTTTTTTATCAAAATGTGTGCCTCTTTATGTTTAGGAAATAAATGCTGGCAAAGCAAATCACCTAGTATGTATTTTCGTTTAATTTCATAGACGTTTTGTTAGTTTTCTAGTGTGTTTATTTCAGGGAAAAGTGTGTGACTATTGGGAGGGTGTGTCAATGTCAGATATTTCAGAGGATGGTGTGTATAAAATGCATAGTAAATCTAATTCAGCAATCAGAGGAAAGTAATTTCCCTGACAGTATGATACTGATCATCTTATGCTTGTATAATGTTTATTATCTTGAAATTTGAAATGTTAAAGATGAATTAGTCCTGTTCTTTCCTCCTTCCACTACCTAATTGTACCCTACAGCAGATTGTCTGAACAGTGCTTTATACAGTCCAGTATTAAATGCCCCAAGTGATGGGGCTTCTACACATCCTATGCAAGTTACATATCCTAGTGCCCAATCTAAGCTTCCAGTCAGGAAGTTTTTCTTTGATTTTTCAAGGCTATACTTCAACAACAACAACAACAACAACAAATGTCCTGGTTACATTTCATGTGGTGCAATAGAAGGAATGTTTCTCCATCCCTGGTGTTCAGAGTCCTAGTACCCGTGAAAGGATTTATTTAATACCAGCCCAGACTGTACCTCTAAGTAGAAACTGCAGCACTTCCCAAGACTCTCTTGAGTACCTGTGTACCATTTAGCCAGCATCTGTTTTCTCTTCCCCAAGGAGAGAGTCAGTCAGCGCTTTGTCCCTCGTTGTTAACGCTTGCTTTTAAACAAAATACTGTTCTTGTAATAGAAGAAAAAGTTGAATGACAGCTAAAACGAAAGCAATCTGTAAAACTTCTCACCATGATTAGTGCTGAATACAATATAGATATGAAAAAATGTTTTTCATAGTAGACTACAAAATGAATATTCCCAGTTTAAGAAGCTTCTCCGTCATTGTGCACACTCGTAGCATTTCTTAAGATGGGAAGACTGGCAAATAAGTGAAATTTATAGCGTGTTTTGAAAATGGTTAGATTTTGCCTGT